GATTTGTCACGCAAAGATTTCCAAATTCTTTGTCCAAACTCACCAGGTTGCCTTGTTGAAAATCCGTTTGTGTTCCTCGGAAATAACTAGGTAATACTTAAGACATAAGGTTTCATGTCAGGCTACAGCCGTGTATGTTCTACCTGAGCTGGAAGGTCAGCAGCATAAAGCCAGTTTCAAATGTCCTAGCTTCCTGCAGCCTCATCAATGGCCCCATGGGAGAGCTGGTATATTTTAGAGCAAAGCAGGGTAAGGTTAAGTGTTCTTGAACCCAGTTCATCTGATTAAGTTCTCAGTTCCAAACATGGGGGCTGAGATTTTCATCTAAATCTGTTCTTGCATATCTGGACAATAACCACATATTGTGCACAGTTCTGTAACCAAGCCCCCAACAGGATGTGTTTCAGCTCCACGGCAATGCCGTGCAGACTCTGAGCTGCTTTTCCACTAACGGCACGTCCTTGGCTGATTCCTAAGAAAAGGCTCAGAATGTGACAGGAGAAACATGGAAATTGCCTCCACTTCTCAAACAAATCATCCTACATTTCTAAATTCCCAGGGCATTTCAAGTTAAAAAGAGATTCTTTTGTTTATACCCTGAATTCTGTCATCTATTAACTATACTATGAAAGTTATGACATTTCTGCTTGGTTCTTTTATACATGACTAAAGAATTCCGGTGCTCCTCTGGATAAACTAGGGATACAGAAATAAAATAGTCTTGCTGTCCTGGAGTCCTTTTTAAACACTGTCAGGAGTTGAAAGGAAACATCCTTTCCCCGGGACAGAGTACTCGGCGGCGTGGTTCTGTGCTCTGCGTCTAAATCCCTCCCGGCGGAGGGGAGCCTCTGCACACAGGAAGCCCAGCACTTGAACTTGCACCCCCTCACCTGTTTGACCAGCACGTTCTTCATGACGACCATGGGGGACAGAGTGGGGAAGGCACCGCTCGCAGCCTTGGAGTTCAGTCTTGGCCGGTCTTCCCGGCTCCAGCCTAAGGCGCTCAGCATGTCCTCGGACTCCATTTGCTCCGCCGAGCTCAGACACTCCGAACTCCCATCTGGTGGGCAGGAAAACGGACAGTTCACCCGGGCTCTAGGCTAGAGGCTGCTAACCAGGTCTCCTGGGGAGTGGCGGGACTCCTTGAAACTGAATGGAACATTTGTGAGATGGGTTTTTGTGCATTTTTCTGAGGAGAGGGTCTTTAGCTTTCATTGGACTCTCGAAAGGCATCCATAATTATCACCTCTGCCCCCAAAGACTAGGAATGACTGCCCGAGGACTCTTTTCTAACTCTTACAGACAAAAGCCTGCATCAATTCAGGTTCCTGTGAAAGTAATCATCACCAGTCTACAGAACTGGGTGGAAGGCTTCAAAGTTAGTTCATTTCATTACTTTCACATTGACATTTCTATCTCTCTCTCCCTCTTCCTTTCTCTTGGAAATAAAAATATATTGTAAAAAATAATAATAAACACAAAACCTTAAAACTTACATCCATGCGGAAACTGAAAGAGCTTCTTCCTAAGTTTTCTAATTGTAAATTCTGGATAAGTTCATCAAAGCTGAGGTTTAAAATGCGTCTGTCATTGTTCCCTCTACCCGGTTAGACATCTCCTTTGTTGCTGTGTCTACTGGGACCCTGCACATCGGTGATAGATACTCTCCAAGGCAAAGATAATAAGAATGCCCTCCGTGAATCCATCACAAAGGACTCATTTAGCTATCTCCTGGAGCATCCCCAGAGACTGCTGAAACCCTGCTAGGAGGAATCTGGGGATACCCTAAACGCTCATCAGGATTCACAGAGTCAACTAGATGAGGCAGGCCCGGAATGAAACTTTAATTTAAATGAGGACAACTGTCAACACTTGCGGTTAAGTCAGAACCACTCATGTAGTGCTTGATTTGGGCAAAGATCATCAATGGATGCCAAAGCCACAGGTCAAGAGTTTGTTGGGGAGCAGAATAGTCACACAATCTCAAAATACCATCTCATAAATTGCTTATAATTTCAAAGAAAAAAGTGTACTTTTACATTAAAAAAATCTGGTATATGCTACCTTAAGCAAGTGTACACACCACCTTAACCAGATGGTTAAGTGATCAACCAGAGCACCAGCAAGAATAAGACAAACATAAGAGTCTCCTTACGTGTGCAGTGAGGGGATATAACAGAAAAAGTGCAGTAGGCTGTAAAAAAAATGTTATCCTGATTCGAGTAATGGGGAAGCTATCAGAAAAATCCAGAGTGTGGGACATTCTACAGAACAACAGGCCTAACTCATTCAAGGATGTTGATGTCATTAAAGAATAAAAAAGGAAAGGACAGGAAAGATGAGGGAGCTGCTCTAGATTAAATAAAACTAAAAAGACAGGGCGACTAAATGAAATGTACAATCGTCAATGGACCCAGGATCTAAAACGAACGGACCAAAGGACACTACTGGGACAATGGGCAAACTCTGACTATGGACTGCAGCTAATTAAAAATCGCAGATTAGCTCCAGCCGGTTTGGCTCAGTGGATAGAGAGCCAGCCTGCGGACTGAAGGGTCCCGGGTTCAGTTCCAATCAAGGGCACCTGCCCATGTTTCGGTCTCAGTCCCCAGTAGGGATCATGCAGGAGGCAGCCAATTGATGCTTCTGTCTCATCATTGATGTTTCTCTCTCCCTCTCCCTTCTTCTCTGAAATCAATAAAAACGTATTTTTTTTAAAATCGCAGATTAAATCATTCACCAAGTGACTGAAATAATAACTCAGGCAGTGACGAAATCACTGGCACCTGGCCCAGATGTGGCTGGAGGCATTCACTGGGGTCACTTTCTGGAGCACAACCAGTTTGATTGGTTTTAACACTGCCTGTGTCTGACCAGCACAACACTTCTTAACGCACTTCTACAGAATAAGGAAACTATCAGACTTCGGGACATACTACATAACAACTGCCTGAAGCTGTGGGAAAGAGAGGTACCAAAATGTCAACAGTATTGAGAAAAAATAGATAGTGGGATGATAGATAATGCTTATATTTTTCTTTCCAAGTTTCTACATTTCTAAGCTTCTACAATGAGCATGTATCACCTTTGTGATATGAAAAACAGATGAAAACAAACATGACCTTAAAAAAGAGAGAGAGACAGTAAGCCTGCAGTGTTTCCCAAACCTGTCTGATTACACAACTCACCAGACACAAAAAATAACCCCCACATCCCAGGCCCTCCCCCAAGGCCCTCAACATCACAGCGTCCAGGAGCGGGGTCTGGCGAGCAGTGTTTTTAACAAATGCCTCAGATGAGCCTTATGATGAGGCAAGTTTAGGAAACAGTGCTAAGCGACAGAGAAGAAAAACCAAGGGGCTACACGTTGGCCCTCGCTTCCCGACTGTCCTTATTCTAATCCCTCTGTCAGTAGGTGCTCTGTTCTTCTCTGAGCAACAGTCTATTTATAATTTGGCTTCTCACACAGCCTCCCTACGGGGAGGAAATATAATATACCAATCTAAGGATGAGGCAGATCTAGCATTCCTAACAGCTGTATTTCTCAGTGTAAGTTAATAAATCAGGAGCATGCACTGATTAGTCTCTGTGAGGCTAGATAACATTAAGTCTTCATCTAGGAGAGGGCTCCATCGCAGGGTGCTAACCCAGCCAGAATCCCCTAGCATCACCTTTCTGCATCCCCGGGCCAAAATGTTGACACTAGAGCTATGGTATGTCAAGCCAGTACTCTCAGACCTGGAAATAAAGGCGCCTCAGCACAACACTGAAAGGCTCACTGGGTATGCAGCTATCCCTTTCAGGTAAGGTTTGGACAAACTAGTAAGGAAAACAGGTCTCCTTTCTCGTCTCTAATAGATACTCAAGTCCAAATGCGAAATACATGGATATTGGGAGGATGGGCTGTAGAGGAGAAAGCAAAATTACTTTCTCAGCAAAAAAGTTACTTTAACAAATTGTATACTCTTTTCGTTTTAATTTGTTACATGGTAACAACATGCAGTATTTTTTCCTGCAATGTAACTATTCCTATGAAAAAGGAGCAAAAACAACAGAATTATGAGTACTTATTTTTTCCAGTAACTACTTGCAATAGTTCTAAGATTTAAAATTGAGTTGAAAAAGGATGTCAAATCGCCTGGACAGCGTTGCTTAATGGTTGAGCATCGACCTATGAATCAAGAGGTCCTGGCCTGATTCCCAGTCAGGGCACATGCCTGGGTTGCAGGCTCGATCCTCAGTGTGGGGCATGCAGTAGGCAGTCGATCAATGATTCTCTCTCATCATTGATGTTTCTATCTCTCTCTCCCTCTCCCTTCCTCTCTGAAATAAATATAAATATATTTTTTAAAAAAAGATGTCAAATCACTCCTTCAGAACTAACCCCATGGTGACTCTGATCGGTACCCTCCATATGGCACCAGAATTGTCATTGTAAGAGATCAGATATTTACTTATTCTGTATGTGAAAGTTTCCCATCCCTATCACACAAAGGAGTTTGGGGGAGGCCCTCTTTCAGGCAAGTCATTCATTACAACGTAGAAAGAATGAGGTATTTTAACCTGAGAATCCAGAGTCCTTGTCTGACTCGGCCGCTGCCGTGCCGAGCTGACGAGCCACTTTTTTCATCTCCGTGCCTTTGCCCAGTTTGGCCGAGAGTCTTCTGGGGCTCTCTCTGGACGGGGTTTTCCTCTCCATGTTTTTTGGGCTGTAAGTGAGTTCACTAGGACTCTTTCATCTGGGTTGCCCTGTGAAAAACAATTACATAAGAAGTCACTGCCTAGAGAGCTGAAACAGGTGACTGAAAGGGTGAGTAAGGAGAGGGCAAAGAACACTGGCCGCACCCACTGCCTCTGCATTTTCTCAGAGGTCTCAACCGAAAAGGCTTCCAGTTTACTGAGCAGTAGAAGGGTTTCCACACGAAAGGAGGTCCACGGTCCTCTCCCTGCCCTCTACATCTATTACAAATTCAAGGCACACACACCACATTCAGTGGCGGCTTTGAAAAGGCTAACAAAGGCACATTTGATTAGGTTTCTGGACCCGGTAACTCACCCTGCTCCCCGAGGGAGGAGAGCAGGGGGGGTGCCCATCTGGGACAGGGCTTGCTTTCCCAGGTTACATCTGCCACTCCCCACTTACTGCCACCTCCCACAGTGTGCTTCTCAAGGTAACCTTTCACTGAACAGTAAAAACAACTGCTTTTATATGCATGCTACTTTTGGGCTTAAAAAGCACTTTTATGCACAAATAAGATCATATAGAATAGTGCTTTGCTTCTATAAAAGCCCACATTATTGCTGTTAACTTTATCTCACTCGACTCTCACGTCCTCCTCTCTGGCTATCCCATTTTATAGAGGAGGAAGCTGAGGTTCAGATAAGTTACATTCAGTCCTTTAAAAATCTTTATCAAGTGCCCACCATGAACCAGGACTGGGGATACAGGGTGAACGAAACAGACATGGTCTCCCTTCCTGGAGCTTACATTCTAGAGGGAGACAGGCATTAATCAAGTAAGCACACAATTAATTACTATTTTGATAACAGCTATGAAGGGGAGGGGCTAAGAGTCTGGGGGGACAGGTGGGGGAAGGCTTTCCCGAGGAAGTGACATGTAGCTGGGATCTGGAGGAAGACAGAGTTAGTGGGAAGGAGAAGAAGTTGGGAAGTTGGCTGGGGAAGAGGGCCGGTGGGTGTGAAGTCTGAAAGCCCTAAGGAGAAAGGAGCCTGACACATTCAAAGAGCTGGAGGGCCCAGGGGGTCAGGGCACAGTGCAGGGGGTAGAAGGCCACGTGACATGAGAAGGGTTGGTGTGGGCCAGACAGGCAGTGCCTTGTAAGCGATGTTGTGAAGACTTTGGGTATTAAGAGCAAAGAGAAGTCACAGAAGGATTTTAACCAGAAAAGTGACAAGATCAGATATGCATTTTAAAAGCATTTGGATGCTGGAGACTAAATTTAGGGAGAGGCCGGATCGGCATTGGGACCGTCTAGATCAGTGGTTCTCAACCTGTGGGTCGCGACCCCTTTGGGGGTCGAATGACCCTTTCACAGGGGTCACCTAAGACCATTGGAAAACACATATTGAATATATAATGACATATTGTTTTTGTAATTAATCACTATGCTTTAATTATGTTCAATTTGTAACAATGAACTTGGGGGTCACCACAACATGAGGAACTGTATTAAAGGGTCGCGGCATTAGGACGGTTGAGCA